GAATTTAGCCAAACCTATAAAATCTCTATGAATTGTCATAGTAAAGAATGGGATTCATATGTTCCTCTTTGAACTTTATTTTTGTATGGATACTGTTGGTGGGAGTTCAGGAAAGTTACAGTTAATGTGTACCTCAGAGGAAGCAAACATAAGGTGTTTTAGTCAAATCTTTCAGTAGTTGTTAGTCTATGAAACTGCCAGAAACCAAAGCCAAGCCAAACTACTAAACTTACTGAAACTTTCTTCTTAGGAGAGCCAGTTCCCCCCATTAAACCAAATGCTGGTGAAGAGTCAGTTGCTAATCTTGACAAATTAAGGTTTGCTAACGGGAGCATAAGAACTTCAGAAGTGCGACTTAACATGCAGAAGGTAAGCCTGGTGGAGCTCTCAAGTACAGGGTGGGAGAAGCTGCAAGCAACAGTGGGGTTCGGTCACTTTGCAAAGTGCACTTCAGGATTTGCTTTGCAGAAGTGAAGAGTGTGTGATAAGATTGTGTGCAGCAAAGGTTGTATGTCTTCTGTTAATTTCTTCTTCCCTTCATGGTCATTCCTCTTGTGTGGTTTACTTGCTGTATAGTAGAGTGGGGTTTCTTTTGTTTGGGGTGAATAGAAGAATGGAGTCAAACCAGCTCTGTAGCAAACTCCGTTGGAGCTAAGGAGGTTACCTGGGTTCGCATGCAGCATATCAAACTGAATTTGTTTTACTGTGTTGCAGGCAATGCAAAACCATGCTGCTGTATTTCGTACTGGTTCTGTACTGCAAGAAGGCTGTGAAAAACTTAGCCAAATTTATAGTGATCTGGCTCATCTAAAGACTTTTGACAGAGGTAATTTGATAGCAAACAGTACACCTTGGCCAGAGTACTCTCTGGGTAAAGTGTTGGTGTTTGGGGTTTTTGTCCTATAAACTTTATGTATTTCTTGAAACTTTGGCTGAAGACTTTGACCATTTTGAATCTTTCAAAATATTTTGTAGAGCCCTACTTACTAAACGTGGTAATCAGTAAAATACTTGATCTTATTGGTTATTTTCTGGTTGCATAATCTTTCAAAGAAGCAGAGACTGAAATTGGATTTAACTGTGTGAGGTACAAACTGCTCTTCTCTCAGAACATGAGGTGAAGTTGTTCTAATATTAAGATGATGAACTTCATTAGTATCTTCTGAAAAGGCCAGGGAGTTGCAAGACTATTCATAGACTTAACACTCAGTTTTCATTCTTCATCTGAGCAGATCACAGTGCATGCAGATACTGCCGTGTCTGGCAGTGTATCTTAAGAGAACTTGGTTATTTAAGTACAACTGATGATGTACCTTTTGTTCACTCACATGTATTTCTCTTCAACTACTGCTATTGGACATGTTTTCTAACACTAAAAATAGAACTGGGTTTCTTGGACAGCTCTTGCTAAGCATCAAAAAAAGTTAAAATAGCTTAGAATGGAGATACATTTGTGTAAGTGAACTTGAGTCCATCTTGAAGAACCTTGTATGACTAGCAGGATTTATTTTCCTCTCTCAGATAGGTAGGAAGGAAGGGAAAACCCTGTTGTGTGGATCTATTAGGGATACACTTAAAGAGCTATCATCTAGTCAGATCTTAGGGTCTGAAATGAGGTATGGGGACTGAGTTTCAGGCAAGAATCTATGGTGTAATTCTGTCTCAGTAGTACACATGCAACAGGGACTGGCAGAACTCTAATTTATCTAAGATTCATGGTGATTGTTAGGGTGTTGGAGTCATTCCTGAGCTTTGCAAGCAATGTGAGTAGTTCAGTGATGTGGAGTACTGTGACTGCAGTATGTAGAGCTTTGGGTAGCTCAATTCTAAGTATCAACAATAGGACAGAAGTAAATTGAGGAATGACTTGTTTGTAGACCATTTTCCATAGTATTTTAATATTTTACTAGGTATTGTGTGGAACACTGACTTGGTGGAGACCCTCGAACTGCAAAACCTGATGCTTTGTGCTCTACAAACCATTTATGGTGCTGAGGCTCGCAAGGAGTCCCGGGGTGCCCATGCCAGAGAGGATTATAAGGTATAAATATTTTCTGTGACCTGCATGTAGGATTAAATTTCCTTGTTATGTGTCCTCAGATGGATTATTTTAAATTAGTAATTTTTTCTAAGTACAGTCTTCAGTGTTATGATTAGTGTAGTATTTGTTTGGGGTCCCATCTGTTCTGCTTTATCTATTCTTATCTGTTATATATAAAATGACCAATATATGCAACACTGGGCAACAGTCTTGAGAAGAGTTGTTCAGTGTGTGCATCTGTATGATTAGAGACCTCTATAGCTCTCTACAGTAATACAGAGGACTTTATAGTAATATAGTAGGACTGTAGTAATAACATTATGAATGCATTAACAGGACATAAACTTGCATACACAGAATAATTGTCCTGTGCAAGGGAAGTTACCTTAAAGCCCTTGTTAAGCCTGAGGATTTAAAATTGGACACGAGCAGTGTTAAGATAAAGCTTGCTGTCTGTTTGGAGACACACTATGTTACAGTTGTAATTGAAGTGCAATTAATTGTGTGGTTTTAAAGTGATCTGCAGATGTAACTTTTGGCGAAAACTAACCTAATTTTCTTCTTAGTTACGGGTAGATGAGTTTGACTATTCTAAGCCACTCGAGGGCCAACAGCGAAAGCCATTTGAAGAGCACTGGAGAAAGCACACCCTTTCATACGTGGATATCCCATCTGGGAAGGTACATGATGCTTGAGGGTCTTTTTTGCTGTCAACAGACAGCTGCTTGCATAGACAGCTTTTGTAATCATGATAATACTGTCACAAAATTTATTTTGTTGCTGAGTGACTTTGCTATTTGAACTGGAATTCAGCTAGTTTGGGGACAAGTGAGAACACTTTGCTTCCTGAATAGCTGCTGAGAATAGAAAGAAACACAGTTCTGTCTCCTAACTGATCCCATTGGCTTCTCGTCTGCAGGCCTTTCCTAGATGAAAGAATTAGGAGCTAGCAGTCTTAGCCAAAAGTTTACTTTTGTTCAAAGGCCTTTTTAAAGTCAGTCTTCTGATACCATTTCTGGTCAGGCTTTGCTTTTAAGGAATTTAGTCAGTGGCAATGTGATGGAACTTTTAACGTTCCTTGTAGGTTACGAACCTCCATTTTCTATGGAAGGAAAGTAATGGAGAAGTTAGCTTAACATCCATGAAGTCATTCTGTTATCTGTGTTATTTGGCCATTCCTATTAGCTAGGCTGACTTGTTTAGATGGAGGACGTTTGTTTGTCCTAAAGTTGTTTTTTCCCTTTTATTACTTCAGGTTACCTTGAAATACAGACCTGTGATCGACAGAACTTTGAACGAGGAAGACTGCCAGACCGTCCCACCTGCAATCCGCTCCTACTAGTAACTTGCATTTCACTTGAAGCCCTCTCCCAGAGGGGGCCAGTGTACATAAGCATAGCACAGGCAAAACAAAACAATGTTATCACTAGCAATGAATGGAAAATACTGACTAAACATTTCTCCAGCTTCTATTCTGCTGTGGCTTATTGTACAATTATTAAAAATAGAATGCAGGACAGCTTATGTTCTTTCACCAATCTGTCAAAACTGACAAGGACAACACAAAATGTGTCTAAATAAAGTGATTACAAGTCTTGTATTTGTATTTGTTTGAATATGCTGATATATATATATATATATATAAGTACAGTGCTTTTATCATAAATGTATAGTTAATTTCCATGCTTTAAGAACAAGAAAGGTGATGCCTGGTGACAGGACAAGGGGCAATGGGCACAAACGGAAGCACAGGAAGTTCCATCTGAATATGAAGACAAACTTCTTTACATGGTGGGTGGCAGAGCACTGGAGCAGGCTGCTCAGAGAAGTTGTGGAGTCTCCTTCTAAAGTTAAAAGCCTGCCTGGATATGATGCTTCAGGTGAACCTGCTTTAGCAGGGAGGTTGGGCTCCAGACGGCCCTTCCAACCTTTCTCTGAAATGCATCGCATTAGTTTTAGACACAATGGAGATACTGAATTTTGTGATGTGGGGACTTAAACATCATAATTTATGATTATAAGTAACATTGCAGAAAAGAAGAATGATGCACTAGTAATTATAACGTTTTTTTTTTATTGAATAAAACAAGAGGCTTCTGCTTACTTCCTCCGTAATAGAATGATATTCTATATAATGTAGACTGTAATAGTAATCTTTACTGACTCTGGAACTTCTGAAGCCATTTTTGTGGCATGCCCTGTGTGTGTATTTCCTCTTTACTGTCAGAGGAATCAAGGGGCAGAAGACTTGCCTAGGTGTTAAAGCTTACCAAACTCAAATTTAATGTGCATTTAGTGCCAAGATGTAACTTGTAAGGCATTAATAGAGCAGTTTCTAGCAGCATTTCTGTGAATAACTTACTGGATGATGGAAGTGTAACTATGCAGACTGCAATTGAATGAAGCATTTTGCGATGTTTGAAAAAAAAAATGTTTACTGCTGAATGTTGGCTGCTGTTGGGAAAAAAAAAAAAAAAGAATGTTTTGAAAACCTGAAGTGTTGAAATGTTGCTGGTGCTGGGTGGAAAAGTTCAATACGCCTTATTTCACTCTTGTAGTGTTTCTGTACTTCGCACCAGGGGGAGACGTAGCATGTCGAAGAACTACCCTTGTATGGGCAGGAAGGGAGAAGCCTTTTTTTTTTTTAATAGAAGGAGCCTTGGCTGTCGCTGGGGGGGGCGCGGGGGAGAGGAAATAACGCTCTATGCATCTTTGACAAGGTTACAGTAAGGCAGGACAAGCTTATAAGTTTTTTCCCAGCGTGGGAAAAATCGCTGTTGGGCGCCTCCCCCGCTGCCCTTCGCCGGGGCCGCGCTGGGTCCCCGCTCGGGCACCCCGGCCCGGCCCGTCCCCCCGCGGCCGCGATTGGCGCGGCGGAGCCTCGGCGGGGATGGGCGCCCCGGCTCCGTGACGCTCGTCCGGGGCGGTGCAGCCTCGCCTCCCACCCCCGCGGTGCTCCCGGCCCCCCGGCACCATGCACCGATCACTCCGCGCCTGCCGCCGCCTCGGCCGCTCCGCCGGGTTCCTGCTCTCCCGGCCGCCGCCCTCGCTGGATCCCGCCGGGCCCCGCTGGATCCCTCCGCCCCGCGCCGCCATGGTGAGCCCGGGTGGGGAGCGGGCAGCGGTGACCTCTAAGTGCCACCGCCGGCCGCCGCCGCCCTCGCTCCGCCCTCGCCCCGGGGGAACGGGCAGCTGGCGCTGCCAGAGGGAGCGGCGGCTGCGGGCAGGGCCGGGCGCGGGGGGCTTTAATCCGGGGTGTTGCTCCGTCGGGAGCGCGTCGGCAAGCGGGAGGACGTGGCCGCCGTTCTCTGCCGGGCTTGCGCGGCCGTTTCCCGCATCCTTCCTGCGGCAGCGCCGGGCCTGGCTGGGCCCCGCTGACGGCCCCGGGTCTGCGGCACCGAGCGGCAGCTGCTCCCGGGGCGGGCCGGGATGTGCAGCTGTCCGGGGGATGAGATTGACGCCGTGAGCACGGCTCTGAGCCGCCTTGCTGTGGCCGGCGAGGGGAGTCAGGTAGGGAAGGTGCTGGTGCAAGACCTGGTCTCACAGAGCTCTACCATGCGGCAGCTGCTCCCACTGGAATTTGAGAGCCTTTCTTAGAGCTGTTGAGGTACAAATAAGGAAAAGCTGCATCCTCACAGGAGTGGGGATATCTGGAATATCTTTGGAGCTGTCTGAAAACTAGGGAGCTTTTAGCTGAGAGAGCAGCCCGTGGCCTCTAGCAGGCATCCGCAGTAATTATTCAAGTACAGACTGTTGGGCTCACACATGAGTGGGATTTGATTACTGCACACAGTTCAACATAGAAACAAAACTGCTATTCGAATAAAGAACTTCAAATCTCGGTAATAACACCTAGGATGTTGCATGGAAGCCTTAGCCTCAGGTACATCTTTGTGAGCTCACTCCTTAAAACGAGGTAATTTAGACTGCCAGAAAGTGGGGTGTTCAGGATTTTATCAATTCCTTAGTTCCCCAAATTAGTAAATTTAACGAGAACATTGGTTTCCAATCTGTGATATTGATTAAGGTGTAGAAAATAGCATTTAAAAGAACAAATTTTCCAACAAGTGAATAAACTTCATGGTGGTTGAAACTTACCTGCATAATAAAATTGGTGTCAAAGCAGACTGTAGCTCAAACCATTGGCCTATGAGACGGTTCCCTTTTTTATCTTCCCATTAGACATCATCTGAGAAAAACATTCTAGATCATGACCTTCATTTACTTGCTGAAGACTCAGTATTTGTGAAAGGCTGCAATCTTACAAGAAAGATAAGACCTGCTCTTTGCAGGTCAGAAATATGACCTGTCCTGTGTGCACTGTTAGTTGCTTGGGTTTAAATAACAGCAGTATTCATAACAAAATATCCCTCAGTGAATTTGTAACTCAAGGAGCTGTTGAATTCTTATAGGAAAAGTTCTCTGTGTTTTTATTTAAAAGAGGTCCACCAAAAGATGTACCAACCACTATTGAAATAAAAAAAAACCCCAAAAACAACCAACAAACCCAAACCATCACTTTTTGATGTTTGTAGATATTTTTTCAATAGCAACAGTTGTTTTAAAACACATTGTGGAGCTACAGCCAAATGTTCATGCTGTACTATGGTATGACTTAACTTAGAGCTATGCAGGATGTTTTAAATGGATTTGTGGTTGCAATGGTTCGTCTGTAGCTGAATGTTGTAAAGTATTGGGGTTTGGTTTATAAAGGATAAATTTCAGAATTTTTGACTTGATGTTATAGAGGACAAATGATGTTTAAAAATGGAAACGTCCTTCATCTGCTAAGGCAGAGCAGTTGAGCACAGATTGCATTTTCTGATGGCCTCAGAAGATGCTTTTGACAGGCTAAAAATGATGATTCTTTGAATTGAAATACTTATATCCAAAAGTTGGTGCATCTGTAAATCGGAATGTAATTTTCCACGGGAAGCAATATTGGAGCAGTTGTGCCATTTGAGTATCTCCAGCGTGTTACGATGCAATCAGTTCTAGCTAATTAGTTCCCTCCGACAAGGCAAAAGTGCAGTTCTGTTTGTCTGGCTCTGTTAGCTTTGGACTGTGGGTTCTAGGGATTTTGGAGGGCAGAGCATGCCTTGTCAGGCCTTTTTAAGGAATTTTAAAAAAAATGAATTTGTAAAGGTGAGGAATAGTAGTTCTGAGCAGACGCTTGTAGCTGTGTTAGAAACTAGGTGAGAGCACAGGAGTTTGCCTTGGCTCCTAGTGGAGTTGATTAGGTCTCCTTTTGGCTTCTATGGTCCAGGGGGTGGGGGAGTAAAGGGTTGACAAGAGTGTGCTGATGATGCACCATTTTATAGCAGATCCTGTAGATCAGGGAATGGCTGCAGAAACTCCTTTGCATACAGGAACTGGGACCTTCCACTTATAAAGCCACTCAAGAGGGTGAATTCTGGCTGAGTGAGGGAAGCATGTTTGTTATATTCAAATTCAGACAAGGCTTCTTCAGGGTGCTACATCAGTCTGAAGGTAGTGCTGCAGTTTAGTTACTTCAGTATGTATGAAAAATAGCACTTTGCTTTTTTAGCTAATGTCACTTCTTATTCTGTGAATCAGCAAATTACATTCATCTTAAAGCACCTTAACCTGTTAACTTCATTGGAATTTGTAAATGTGTAATGTGGAATTTGCTAGGGAAGTAATTTTTTTTAATAATGATTTTGTTGTTAGAAAGTACTTGTACAAGTATGCACTGATCCTATTTATCTTTGTTTCACCATTGTTGACATTGGGATTATGTAAGTTTGAGGAATCAGTTGTGCAACTGCTAGCTTTTTTGTCTAAAAGGTCACAAGTAGTTTATCTTTTCTATATCGTTTGAGTGTGGATACTTTTGGTGATTGAACCACTGATCATAACGAGAGCTGGGCTTGGAACTGAATTGGTTCTGCTTATCCAGCTCTGTGAAAGCTTGACATTGTCTGCTTATACAAGGTGCCCAAATATCAAAAGCAGGGATTTCCCAACTGTTGGAATATTAATATGTGCACATGTACAGTAAGACCCACAAGCATCCCAATTAAACATTTTTGGCAGTAAGATACTGAAGATGCGTTTACTATGTTCGGTTTCTTGTTAGCATGGAAATGAATGCTTAGTGTCTCAAATAGGATGAAGAAGATTAAAGAACATAGGAACGATGTACCACGTCACACTAATCTTTCTATTCTTGTGAAGTCAGTGTCTGGGAGAGCATCAGCCAAAACACAAGATACGGGGAGTGGATGGCAGTGTGAGAGTTAACCCTTGCTGGGGGCTGGGCTGCAGTTTCTTCTGGACCATGTGCACCACCTACTCTGCGAGTACTCAAAGTGAGCAGGGCTAGTGTCTCTGGTATGAGACTGATGGAATACCTGATGGCAGAGTGTCTCCATCTGGCTGGGAATGATGCTTAGGTCAGTAAAAAGGCTGAGACATTCCCCTCTCCCCTCCTGCAACATGCCATCCGTGGTGATGCAAACCTGGGCAAGCTGCTGCAGGAGATCAGGGCTGCTGGAGAGAGCATTCTGGCCAATACACAGCTGTGCTCCTGTCCAAGAAGATTGAGACCCACCTAACAAGGAGTAAGTAAAATGAACCAAGAAAAGAGAGGAACACTCTGACTTCAGAAGTGGGCTCCCAGGGAAGAGTAAGAACTGTGCAAAAATGTATGATGCTTTCCCTGTATTCTGACCCAAACTCTTCATGTACATGGCACTGGTGAGGCTGCACCTCGAGTAGTGTCCAGTTCTGGGCCCCTCACTACAAGAAAGGTATTGAGGTACTGGAGTGAGTCCAGAGAAGGACGACGGAGCTGGAGAAGGGTCTGGAGCACAAGTCTTATGAGGAGCAGCTGAGAGACCTGGGGTTGTTTAGCCTGGAGAAGAGGAGGCTCAGAGGAGACCTTATTGCTCTCTGCAGTTGCCTGAAAAGGACATTGTAGCAAGGTGGGAGTTGGCGACTTCTCCCAGGCAGCCAGCAACAGGATGAGAGGACATGGTCTCAAGCTATACTAGGGGAGGTTCAGGTTGGACATCAAGAAGAATTTCTTCACTGAAAGGGTTGTCAAACATTGGAATGGGCTGCCCAGGGAAGTGGTGAAGTCACCATCCCTCGTTTGTGTAATAACCCAGTTTAGATTTTTCTTCTGAGTGCTTATCTCATCTTCCCTGAACTCATGTGGACTTCCTTCATCTGCAGCATCAGCCGGCAAGGAGTTTCATCAACCTGTGACTTGTGTGAAGAGCTGCTCCCTTTCCCTTGCTTTGAACTTGACTCCTACTAGCCTAATGTTATGGCTCCTGTTTCTTGTATTGGAAGAATCAGTGAACAGCTTATACTGGTGCTTTTATTGACCTCAGTTTTCCTTCAATGCCCAAGTTACCTCTTTTCTGAACAAAAAAGCCACTTGTCTTAAGAAAGGTGTTCCCTACCTTTTATCAACTTCATTGCTTTTCTTTGAACTGTTTACTTGGACTGTGGATGAACCATGGTGGCAAGGCAACGTTTCTTTTTGTATCTTTTGCTTTTCCCAGTAGTTCCTCGGGTTTGGTTTTCTCCTTTGACTGCACTGCAACACTGACTTGACTCTATTGATAGAGCTTTCCCAAGGGCTCACCCCTAAGGGTTATGGTTAGGTCAGGACCTGGCATTGTGTAGGTATATATGCTACCTGTGGGACTGGGATTGTTTTACTCTATCCACAATAAAGAATTGAAAATTACTTCTTCCCTTTCCTGAAGACTCTGGAAGAAGGTAACCTCCTCTGAGGAAGGATGAATACCTTTCCCACAGAAAACTGGGACTTGGCTGACCAAGGTGTGAGGAGAGGAAGAGTAAAGTGGTCTTGCTTCCTGTTCCAGTTCCATAATCTTTGTAGAGCTGCATGTGAATGTGATCACATCATCCCAAATGAATGTTATTGTTCTACAAAAAGTAAAAGAATTACTTTTTTTGGTGTATGTCAGCTAAAATTATTTTGCCTGTGGCCGTGTTAGATAATAACATGTGCGAGGTGTATACATGATACAGAAATACTGCCATATTTAAGTAGTGCACAAAATATACCTAGATGCAGTTCCTTGGTGTTGCACAGCTAGGGCAACTGTGTTTCTGGTTTATTAGGCCAAAGGGGATAATTAATATTCAGTAACTTGGTCCTGGATTAGTCAGTTGCTCCCTTCCAATATTAAGTGTCATGTGGGGTGTGGGTTTCAAATAGGAATTATGTTACATGTATGTTGATTGGGCAGATGCTACCTGAATTCTTACTATGCTAGTTCTACAGTTTGGTTTTAACAAAACACCAGTTCTGTAAATTGTAAGTTAAGGTACTAATTCTTAGAAAAGACGAAACAGTCTCTCATCAGGATGACAGTGGGCAGCCGAGGTCTTAAGTCTTGCAGTGCTGCCAATCACCAGTGGGACAGCTGGGCTTCACAGTGGTAGTAGTTGTGACTTCCAGTGAGACAGGTGCTCAAACTAGAAAAATATCTTAATTTCAAAGGTATAAAACTACCTATGACTAGCCACGTCTTTGCTTTGTGTCTTTTCCCCCTTCTTGACTTCTTTTTCTTGACTGCTTACTTTGAAAATGGATGTGCCATTTACCAGTGTTTAAATTTTTTTTGTTTTGTTTTTCTACAGTCCACTCAAGAGGCTTTTAGGATAGAATATGATACTTTTGGGGAACTGAAGGTCCCAAGTGACAAATACTATGGTGCCCAAACTGTAAGATCTACAATGAACTTCAAAATTGGAGGTGTTTCAGAAAGGATGCCAGTAAGTAATTTGAATCTGTGTAAATTTCTTTCTTAAGTGCTTTTTGGATGTGAAAATGAATACCTTTTTCTTAGACTTCTGCTGGAAGTGTAAGCAACTTTGAATTTTAATTAAAGGTAGAAATTCCATAGCAATATATCATTCTGTGGTAGAAATCCTTTTTTTGTTGCACTGAAATAAATTGAATATTGCTTTTCAATAATTTTTATTGTGTTGCTTAATTTTTTAATAACCAGGATGAGTGGAAATCTGTCTTTCATTTTCCCAGAGATGAAAAAGTGAATGGAATAATTTGTTCGATGTGGCATTTATATAGTTTTTTATTGAGGTTGTTAAGCAGAGCATGAATTGATATAAAGTTGCTTTTTCACTTGTAGCTGTGCATAGAGCATTAGTGTGCACTTGCTTTGTCATATACTGACTTTCCATGTACTGAAACATAAGTCAGTTTTCCCTCAAAAGGCTGTTTTAGAAATGGAACCAGTTCAGTTTTAATGCATGTAATTTTTGATGCACAGAGCATACATGGACTTGCAAAGAAAGCTGTATACTGCTCTCTGGACTGCTTGGATGAATGTTACTGTTAATGGGAGCATAGGCCATAGGACCTGGTTGCTCTGTGGTTTGTTCAATGGATTTATGATCAGAAGGAGTTTGGTTTAGAACTAGACATGCACTATAAATTCCTAACATGTCCTTTGGGGAAAGAAAATTGTGTATTTAAACTTACCCTTGTGTCTCAGGTTCAAGTCATAAGGGCTTTTGGCATCTTGAAGAGAGCAGCTGCTGAAGTAAATCAAGATTATGGTCTCGACCCAAAGATTGCTAAAGCTATTGTACAGGCAGCAAATGAGGTAGGAACAAACTGTTAAAATACTAGAACTGCCATTGTATTTTTGTTAAGCTTTTCACAGGAGCCTGAGGGATTGCATTTCTCCAATTGCTAGAGAAAAACATTTCTTATTAGTGAATTTTGCTTTTCAGGAATCATTTACTTTATATAATAATTTTAGTATTTTACTTCTTGCATTTAAAGAAATGATGGAATATTCAAATGCATTTTGATACTTAAAGCAATGTGATTTTTTTCCCCTCTGTTAAGAATAATTATTACTTATATAGTGTTGACTCTTACCAGATGAACAGTATAAAAGAACCTAGGAGGGGAATAGAGTCTCAGTTCATTTAACTAAATGAAGTCTGATATGCCAAGCAAAGCTTTTTAGTTTTGGAAGTCTCTAACCTGTAAAGCAATTGGATCTTGGTAATCTGAAGACCGTCTGCAATTTAAGTAGTTTCTGTGTTACTGGTCTATTTCCTCTCCAGACTTAGGCTTACTAGTAAATCTGCACTTTGTAAGTATCAGTTTTATTGCTAAAGAGGACATGATGAGACAAATGGGGATCTTCCTCTTTCTTAGGATAAATGCCACCCAAGTGCAGAGTTGTAAATGACCATTATTTGAGGTGCAGTAGTACCAGGTGTGTTGATTTGTATAAATCAACAGATCTGTTTATCTAGAAGCATTTGTTAACAGAGTTTCCTTGTTCTAACTTGCTTAAAAATATTTCAGTATTTGCAGAAGCCTCATCCTCCTTCTACCAGCTGTAGCAGACTAAGTCCCAAGAGCCAATAGCTGTGGGGAATTCCAGAATATATCCAGGCTCTTTCTGTTGTTTCTAGGGTTCCCCTAGTTAAAGGTGCATTAAAAGTTTTGGTGGCTAAAGGCTACTTAGTTTAGATTCATAAGTTCTGAAAGTTGTTTGGGGCTTTTTTTTGTTGTGTTTTAAAAACATCCTTGCAATGATATCCTTTCTCTTACCTACAAAATAATTTTCTAATACAACTTAAAAGAGATACATCAAGGAATCAAGTTACTCCTGGAGCCTGGGAACTTTGCCCCTGTATAAGATGGGGAATACGTAAGATCCTTTCCTGAAAAACATGTTTCCTGGAGGACTGATGTATCCTGATAATCCAGAGATGGTTATCTAGGCTCAGAGTAGTGACAACAGATCCTTTGTTTTTCTGAGGCTCATATGTATGGGTGTGATACTTCTGAGCACAGATTTTGATGGTGTCACAAACACATGTTTAGGAAACTCTCTAAATGTGCATAAGATTCAATAGACTCCAAAAAATGTTGATCAAAGAGGAGTGTGCCTTACAGGAAGAAGGTGTTTGATACTATCAGCCATCTGCTGGCTTTGTCGATGCAAAGTGTTATGTCTACAGGTGTAAGAGGTCTGGAACTTCCTGTATGAAATTTCTTTTTTGTGAAATATCACAGTCCAGTTACACAGATTTCATGTACTGCATGTGGATGGCTGATGATCTTTGGCAAAAGCACCTTTTCTGGGGGACTGTTTCCCAAAGGAACTGACTTCTCAGTGCCTCTAATTCAAGCTGATAGTTGTGATCAGTGTACATGATGAAACTGTGCAGCTCTCTGTTTTGTTCAATGGATTTATGATCAGAAGGAGTTTGGTTGATCTTGATCTCCTAGAAGAAAGCAGCGCACCCATGGTGAGAAGTTTGGGAACAGATAAGCCTTGTCAAAATGGTCAAAACCGAAGGAGACACACCACACTGAATCTGTACCGTGAAGCACCTTATGTGCTCTGATTGAGAAACTTAAGATATTTCTCTTGCCTTAAAAATTTTCCTAACCTGAGCAAATAACTGTTGGAGAGCCAGCATGTACTACCTCTAGTCCTATCCAGGAGGATTAGAATTCAAATGGCTTTAAAATTTGGTAAAGTGGGTGATGTGTTTGACTTGTAAAATCAGCTGCATTGTTTGGGAAAGAGAAGATATAATTTAAAATACCTTTTAAAAATCTTTTCTTTCTATAACTGTAGAATATGAAATCAAATTCTATGTAACTGTGTTTCACAATTCAGCATCTTCAAAAAGATAGCAAATTTTTTTCCCTTTTTATATCTGGTATTACATCAAAAACTTGTTAATTATTCTTGTGTGAATTCACAATTGTTATATGTAGATTTAAAAATACAACAGAGAGCATGATTTTAATTATAGCTATAAAATATTAAGGTTTATGCTTTTACTTTATTTTCTCATAGAATAACTTTTCTCTCTTTTTCCATTATAGGTAGCTGAAGGAAAATTAAATGATCACTTCCCATTGGTAGTGTGGCAGACTGGGTCTGGAACTCAAACCAATATGAATGTCAACGAAGTCATCAGCAACAGAGCCATTGAGATAATGGGGGGCACCCTGGGGAGCAAAAAGCCAGTACATCCGAATGACCATGTTAACAAAAGCCAGGTTGTTATACTTGTATTATACTTCTTTGAACTTCAGAAGTTTCGGGGTTTTGAATTTTGAGTTCTCTTATATCCACTGTTTAAATTAAAAAAAAAAAGAAAAAGTAGTTTTGGGGACAGCTTTGGCAACAATTTTCCATTTTTTTCAGTTTAAATGAACTTTAAGATGTTTGTCAGTGACAGTATGAGCTGTTGAGATTAAAACCTTTGAACTCATTCATAACAGATAAATTCACACATAATGAATGGACAGAGGTGGCCTTATGACAATGACTATTCCTGCAGTCTTAAAAGTACTTAAATATAGATCCAGTTTCTAAATGTTGGATCATGGTAGACGTATTTATTATACTTCCTTCTTAAACTTCAGCTGATCTGAACGAAATACTAAGCCACTGACTTGGTTGTTTCCCTTCCTGATCTTTTTTGCTTACTCAGTAACCAGGGAACTATGAATTTAACATTATCAAAGCAACACATAAGTGTTTTAAAGTCACATACAATTACTTTAAAATCATCCATCTATTTTACTTGTCTCTCATAACTACTGTAGTAATTATTTTTCTTTTTTTTTGTCCCAGTGTTGTTGTGAACAATCTATATTCAGCTTAACTTTCTTAAGGTATAGTTATAAAAAGTTGATTTATCAATAAGACTCTGGCCTTGTGGAACAGTCCTAAGTTGCTTACTCTTAGTTTAGTTTCTAATTGTTTTTAAAATAAAGAGAAGAAAGCCATACCTGCACATCTTACAGCAACAGTGGTGAGAAAAGCTTGTAAATAAATTTCTTGAACTTTCTTCACAGAGTTCAAATGACACTTTCCCAACAGCAATGCATATTGCTGCTGCCCAGGAGGTTAATGAGGTGTTGTTACCTGGACTGAAGAAGCTACAGAATGCACTTGAAGGGAAATCCAAAGAGTTTTCCCAAATCATAAAAATAGGGCGCACTCATACACAAGATGCTGTTCCACTTACACTTGGACAGGTAAAAAAAAAAATAAAATTAGGCATTTCTTTGGACAATTCTTGTAAATGTACTGGAGGATATTGAGGCCAACTTGAGAATGCCTGAATTAAGTTGATAGTTTAAGAGAAATTATAGGCTGAATCTCAGTGTGAGTATTTTCAGTCTATGCTGGAGTTTGCTGAATATGCTGTACTCTAATAACTGGGTCATAAATTTTCTTAACTTTTTGCATGCGTGTTTTACTTCTAATAGTATTAAGATATAAATGATTGTTAAATGATGTTTTGTTTCCAAATATCACAACGCGAATTTTCAGTTACACTGCTGTTGCAAGGAAGAGGTAATTGCAGTCTGTAATCTATAAACTTATGTAAATGAGGTTTTTGCCAACAAACAAAACTACTAGGTATTTTGAATGAAAAGCTTAGATATATAATCCTCTGTATATGTGTGTGTGTGTATGTGTGTATAAATATAAAAGATGGCAAATCTTATCATATTGTCAAGAATGGCTTATATTACAATAATTTGGTAATGAACTAAAGTGAATTGATATCCAGGTAAAGTTTGGGGTTTTTTTCTGAGAATGCACAGGTGGGTTTTACTAAACTAAAGTCAAGTGAACAAAGTCCAAGATCCATTTCTTTATTTGTACTTGGAGAACATTAGTTCAGTCTTGGAGCTGTTTTAGTGTGGATTCAGATCCCACTAAGTACACACCTGAGATAAAAGGCATTATGTATAATTTTATTTTATGTATTCAGATTGGTTTTATGTATAATTGTTTGTTGTGTGGGAACAGTCTTCTGATATTTCCATACTTTTACTGACAACATGCTAAGATGTAGCATTTGTGTAAAATTCAGTGCTTGCATGTTTTTTAAAAAATAAGTCAAATCACGTTAAAAATCTAAATGATTCTAGGTGTTTATTCTTGGTTATTGTCTTTGTTCCTTTATCTTGTCCTCCTTTCTTTCAAAGGAATTTAGTGGTTATGTGCAACAAATTAAATACGGTGTGGCTAGGATTGAATCAACCATGCCAAGAGTATATCAGCTGGCAGCTGGCGGGACTGCAGTTGGCACAGGATTAAACACAAGAATTGGCTTTGCTGAGAAAGTTGCTGCTAAAGTGGCTGAACTGACAGGTGAGGAATAATATTTTGGAGTTACCAGTAAAGCGGTATGTGTAACACACAGTCAAATTCAAACTAAATCTTTCTGTTTCCATACCTCTAATAAGCTCAAATTGTATTTTTATTTTAACATGACACTTTCTGTTAATGCTATGTGTGATATGCCTTCTCCTTCAGATTTTTCTTGCAGTGTATTTTTGTAATTATACTCAGTGGATTGAAAGTGACTGAAATTATGGTGTTTTTCTGAGCAAGGCTCATTGAATATGGATACAGTTTCAGACTTCTATTATTAGCCCAACTATAATGCTTCTGTCTTGATCTTTGCTCCTCTGGCTCTCTTAACTTATAGTGACTCAGCACGAAAGAAGGGAAAAAAAGCTCCCAAAGCCACTCTGGTTTTTTCATGTGAAAGAGTAAAGGTTAGCTGTCTAATTTTTTCAGTGCTGTCTTGATAGATCTTAAAACTTAATTTACAATGATATTGAGTTTTTTGATCTGTAAACCAGATCTTGTGTCACAACATAAGTTTTTAAAATGCCCCCAAAATAAACATGCACATCTGTCATTTACATTTGCTGTAAAATCTAAAATTGCTTATCAACAGTATTTTGTTTTTAATGGACCTATTATTCACTGTCTTGCAGAGGATCAATACTTTCTTGTACCCTGAGAGGGAAGAAGTAACTTCTTGTAAACAACAGCTGCTAGGAGCAGTACAGGGCATGTTTTGGTGGTGTTATGAAGCTCTCCATCTTGGCGCTCTTTAGGTGTCCTAGTGGCAGGTTGTACGAGTTTAAAACGAGTAGGGCAGACTCTTGAAGTTCCATATGTTCTTATAGAGGATGTTTATTGGCCAGGACAAGAGGAAAAGTTTGATTGGATCTCTGCAACTGAGAAGGCAGCTGTGCAATTCAGAAGCTCATGCAGATTGGGTGGGATTTGGTGTTGTTTGTCAGGAGCTGCCAAACACAAGAAATTAGGGAGATTATGCTGCTCTTCTTTGAATGGGTGATGAAAGCTCAGATCAGTAGTTCTGTGGGGCAGAAGTCCAGCCCACAGTCAGTCCCTAATGATATCTCTTCCCACTAATAGCATTCTGCTCGACTTTCCTTCCAGGGCAAAGTCCTGAAGAAAAGTTTTTCATTACGGAACCTAGGCTTAAATCTTCAGCCATTTAATTAACATAAGCAGAGCTGTTACTTCCATTGCTGCTGTGCTTTTGCTGTTGGCAGGCATCCTCCTAAGTCTGAATCAGCTTTCACATGTTCTGAGTGGTGTATTGTTCGCTTCCAGTGCTGGTACTCAGGTGCATCTTTTTCCTTTAAGTAGCTTACTGTGATTCCATTGTGATTACTTCTTATTTACCTTAATGCCTGCATTTACCTTAATGCTGCAAAACCATCTATTTTTATAACTGAGGGAACCCATCAAAGCAACTAACAATCTGAATTATCTAACTTGATTTACTGGAAGAAATAGATAAGTTTGGGCTAAATTCTGAAAGATTTTTGACATTCACGAAATACTGTGGTGCAAAAGCAATATAACACAGAATGAAAGCTTGACATTTGTGCCTTTGTTGTTGGTAGATGCTAAAATTTCGTATTCTTCTGTATTTTAATGACTTTTATTGTGTCTTTCGTACTGACTTTGTTTAAGAACTAAGTGAAGTAAGCTGTAGAGAAGAGAGGTGATGTTATAGTGTTATTAATTTTTATTTTTTATTAAGCTAATCATGTGTTTGATTATCTGGTTTATGTCTGCAAGGAAGCGCCTCACTGGTTTAATACTTCCATCTCCTCCATGTAGGTTTGCCTTTTGTCACTGCTCCAAATAAGTTTGAAGCGCTTGCAGCCCATGATGCTCTAGTTGAACTCAGTGGAGCCATGAACACGGTGGCGTGTAGTCTGATGAAAATAGCTAATGATATTCGTTTCCTGGGTTCTGGACCACGCTCTGGACTTGGAGAACTCATCCTGCCTGAAAATGAACCAGGAAGCAGCATCATGCCAGGTACAGAGAAAGCAGAGAGAATTATTACCTGTTTCTTTTGTTTGGGACCACTGTCTCTTAACAAATGTCTGCCAAACAGCATCCCGATGATCCTGATGGGTCACTTCCTACTCAGTATATCCTGTGATTCTGTGATCACAAATGTCAGTAAGTCCATGATTCAATCCTTCTGTCAATTCTTATCTATTATACCAGAATTTGCATTTATAAAAATACCTACTTGCACAGCTGGATGTTGGTAAGTAAGGTTATATACTCCTGACTACTAAGAACCATGGTAATGAACAGCTGCTTAGCTCATGCACAGTTGATCAAGCTCTTGAAGTGTTGGTAGATTGCTAAAGCAGCCAGAGCTGTTCTAAAAATCCTAGCTGAAATACTGGAATAGTATTTACAGTCAATCTAATATCATTTATGGAAATACTTTTTCTTCTGTGGTGCACAGAAGAAGTGAGTAAGACTTGTTACCTCTTAAAAATCATTTTCTATTCAATGTGATTTGGTAGATGAGGAAACCATTGGTTTCTGACTGGTGATGGTTGGTTGGTTGGTTGGTTGGTTGATTTTTCTCCTTCCTTCTTTGGTAACCTTTTTCTCTCCCTTTCATAACCAGGAAAAGTGAACCCTACCCAGTGTGAAGCTGTAACCATGGTGGCAGCCCAAGTTATGGGAAACCATGTTGCTGTTACTGTAGGAGGAAGCAATGGACACTTTGAACTGAATGTCTTTAAGCCCATGATGGTAAGTTCATGAAATTTTAAACATCTAGGACTTTTTGAGTGATTGTTTCTATAGTCAGATAATTCGTGGGCAGAAAAACCCTCAGTGAATAATTGGTCAATACAAGCACCAGAGAAGCTAATAAATTGTGAGAACAAATTTTATTATTTTGTACGGCAAGCCCTTGTTATTTTGACAGGGAGCTGAGAATCTTTTTTATGTGAAACTATCTCATGCAGATAAGCTTCTACCTTAACAATGTATGCCTATCATCAGCCTAAGGAAGTAAGCAGAGACACAAAATGAGGCAAGATTTTTGTACAAAGCCACAGCGAATTTGGTATGTTATGGATCATCAAAGAAGACAATTAATGCCAGACATTATTGTCCTTAATATTTTTAGATATGTTCTTGTAATTGCTACCTGATGGGGAAAATTACAACAAATCAAATGTCTTCTTGTATTTTTTACTTGGTTATTTGTGAATTGGTATAACAAAATGATTACACATACTTGTTTTTATGCAGGAATTCTGCTTCTCACAAATTCATTTAAATAGGAATGCAAAAGGAGGAGGTTGTACTATTTACTGTACTGCTGTTAAGGGGTTGGAAGGGACGTTAAAGATCATCTAGTCCCAACCCCTGCTGCCACGGGCAGGGACATCTCCGACTAGACCAGATCGCTCAAGGCCTTATCCAACCTGGCCTTGAATACTGCCAGGGTTGGGGGCATTCACAACCTCCCTGGACAACCTGTTCCAGTGTCTCACCACCTTCACAGTAAAGAATTTCTTCCTAACATCTAGCATAAATTTCCCTTCTTTCAGTTTGTACCCATTACTCCTTGTCCTATCACTACAATTCCTGATGAAGAGTCCCTCTCTGGCTTTCCTGTAGACCACCTTCAGATACTGGAAGGAAAATAGCCTGTTAAATAATTTGATATTGAAAGGGGGACACTGGTTATGAACAAATGTGCCAGAATGTGCAACTAGTAATATCTGAATGAAGTAATTGGTGTTTCCTTCTTTGTCTTGTTAGATTAAAAATGTTTTAAACTCTGCAAGACTTCTTGGAGATGTGTGTGTTTCTTTCACTGACAACTGTGTAGTAGGAATTCAAGCCAATACAGACAGGATCAACAAACTGATGAATGAATCTTTGATGTTGGTAACAGCACTGAACCCACATATAGGTAGGTTTAAGGCTCAGAAAGTTCTCAAAACATTATACTGAAATATTTTGGGGCAACATTATTTTTCACATGCTATCCGTATTGTCATGATGTTTAGGAGACCAAGTCATGGCTCAGGTGAAAAGTTAATTTACTTCAACATCACCAACTGCTGTTACTGTTGCAGATGTTGTGTCCTCCTTGCAGTGGCCATACCAGTGCATTAGAAAAATAACTCTGATTAGAATCAGAAGGGGATTGGGAGAATTTGTGAACCTGTTCTCCTGAACTGACCGCTAATAATGATAAGTGAAAGATTATGTTATGAGATTATATTTTTTTAAAGGAGAAGGTCCCATAAATCTTTGATCTAAGTAAATTAAGACCAGGATAAGAGAATTTACCTTCACTTTAAATAAGGAGTTAGTGTAAACATTTGGTGTGCATTTACTGCAAATTGAGTTAAATAGTAATAGCAATGCCTGGCAAATAATTCTCCAAAGACCAAGTGTCCCACTTTTCTCTCACCTCTAATGAATCAGTGAAATTGTGAATGGCTAACTTGTTGCTTTTGTTTTGTTACAGGATATGATAAAGCAGCTAAGATTGCCAAAACTGCACACAAAGAGGGGACAACGTTAAAAGAAGCTGCTATAAAGCTGGGGTTCCTTACGTCAGACCAGTTTGATCAGTGGGTGAAGCCTAAAGATATGTTAGGTCCTCAGTAACTCCTGTACAAAATAAAAAAAGTGTTCTTAATATAAAAAAATAAAACAAATATGATATCACAGAATCACAGAATTAATTAGGTTGGAAAAGACCTCTGAGATTATCAAGTCCAACCTCTGACCCACCACCACCCTGGCAACTAGACCATGGCACCAAGTCCCACATCCAGTTGTTTCTTAAACACCTCCAAGGACAGTGACTGGACCATCTCGCTGGGCTATCCTTTCCCATGTCTAATGAGGCTTTCAGTGAAGAAATTCTTCCTGATGTCCACCCTAAACCTCCCCTAGTGTAGCTTAAGACTGTGTCCTGTTGTCCAGTCACTAGTTGTCTGGGAGAAGAGGCTGACCCCCACTTAACTCCTTTAAGAGGGTTGAAGAGAGTGACAATGTCTCCCCTGAGCTTCCTTTTCTCCAGTTTAAAACCCCCCAGCTCCCTCAGCTGTTCCTCACAGGACATGCACTGCAGATCCTTTATCAGCTCTGTTGCCCTTCTCTGGACCTGCTCCAGCACCTCAATGTCCTTCCTACACTGAGGGGCCCAGAACTGGACGCAGAACTTGACGTGTGGCCTCCCCAGTGCTGAGCATAGGGGGACAGTCACTTTTGTGACTGTTTTCATGGCGTTTGTAACAGATCAGATCAGGTGACCTTACGGGGATGATTCTACACTTCGAGCAGGCGGTGCAAGCCCAGCAGTTCGTTACACAGGGTGCGCTGAGGGAGAAAAGCGTCTCCGTGTGCGGAACAGCCGCGCTTCCCTGTGGCCCCCAGGGCCACCGGCCCCCAGCGGAGGGGGGCGGGAGCTCAGGGATGCGCCGCCGGGAGAGCGCTTCCTGCTTCCCGCGGCCCTTCTTCCGCGGGGTGGAGCCGGCCGGGAGGTTCCGGGTCGGCGGGGAACGCTGTTGCCGCTGCTGCCGTGGCCGGGAGCGACTCGGAGGGACCGCCGCCATGAACCGCTTCTTCGGCAAGGCGAAGCCGAAGGCGCCCCCGCCCAGCCTCACCGACTGCATCGGGACGGTGAGTGCCCGCCCCCGGGGGCACTCGGCAGGGGCCGGAGCCGCCTGGGCGCTGCGCGGCCCGGCCGCCGCCTCGGGAGGGGCGGGAGCGACGGGGGGACCGTGTGACGGCACCTGTGCACGGACGTCTCTGGATGTATGGGGACACGGCTGGCGTGGGCACTGCGTGTGTGTCCCTGGGTAACCTGTGTGTGTGTCGTAGAACCTCAGAATGGGGTCGGTTGGAAGGGACCTTGAAGATCATCCAGTTCCAACCCCCCTTTCAGCTGAAGGCTCGGAGCCTTGTCCCACCTGGCCTTGAACACTGTCCTTCAGTGTGCACAGATACACGGCTACGCATTTGTACATATATATATACATACATACATGTATTTTAGCATGAACCTGTGCCTGTACACTGGCGTGTACCTTTGTATGTATATACACCTATGCCTGTGGTTTTTTCCCGTGCATAGAAGCGCGTCCCATAAGCAGTTGCACACAATGTGCGTGTAAGGCATGGCTCTCCTTACATCCTCATGGATATTTTCAGTATTGCCATCTGAGGACTTCCCTCCTCTGATTCCACTAGCTAACTCCTGCCATGCCAAGTTGTGGCAAGGCAGGGGCAGGAGCAAGAAAACCAACCTCTCTGTCCAATACAGAAGGTGGGAGGGTTATTCCCTCTTGTGATGAATTCTTCTAATGAAGAGTGTTCTGTCTCTTTTGGTGAGTAGGATTGCTGTAGGGTTGCTGCCAAAGGTGCGTGCAGATGGACAGATAAACAAGGTCAAGATAACCAAGTAAGAAATGATGAGGAAACGCACGGAAGAACACTTTATAACTGTTGTAATCTTGGCCTGCCTGAAAAGATTAAGGAAAAATTTTAAGAAGATTTGTCTTGTAATTTCATAGTCTTTTTTCAACTTTAAAGCTTTTGAAGAAAACTGTAGGATGTTTTTGCAGCTCCTTCTGTTGTAAACTACTTTTGAAAGGTTAAAAAAGAACACAGAGGTTGTATTTGTGTCAGTAGTTAACAAAGTCCAGTGAAACGTCGGTGGGGGTATGAATGGATGTTAATTAAGCATTGTCACTGGAACCTGACAACAAAACCTTCTGTGGAAAATCACAGTTTTCCTCACAGAAGATTTATTTTGCTACCCAGTGAAGAGACTCTTTAAGTAAAATACCTAATTAATATTTGTCAGTGCTACCTACACAAGCCTACACATTGGCTTCTTGTGTATGCCACTGGGTGGTACAGGGAGAGAAGTGGTCATAGTGTTTTTCCAGTACCTTATTTTACTGGCAGAGAATCTGTATTGCATTTTAGCAGTATTAAGCCCGAACATAAGTCCAAGTATGTTTAGTTAGAACAATGAATAAACTATCTGATTGAAAATCAGGATTAGCTTTCCCATTGTTGCCAGTAAACACTTTGGTGGATGGCTTGAACTCCAAAATACATCTGAGATACTGTTGTTAATACTTAAATTTGTCATTTTGGCAGTATCAGCTGAAGACCAGGAAACTTTGTTTTCCTCACAACCACCAACTCCTGTATTAGTCCGTTAGATTTTTCATGCTGATTTTGCCAGTTCCAAGTTAATGTCTGTTTTCTAATGTTGTAGCAAATCAAAAGACAATTTAGATATGCCTGCAGGTTGTCTTCTACTAAAGAGCTTGGTCAATCCCACTGGATTTTTGGGATTCATCAAAGTGTAATTTAAACAGCTGTAAATTTTAGGATTTTTTCCAAAATTTGCTGAATGCAGTTTTGATCTTCTTCTTGTTGTTTGTAATTGCATTGTCTGAAAATTTGACTATGCAAGACAGCAGGTTAACTGAAAAGCGGAGTTTCAGTTTTATTTTAGGTATGTGATGACTTTGACAACCAGTGGTGAGTTACAGGGTGGTTTTTAAAATATGAAATCAAGAGCCTGTGTTGGTCAGCTGTTGAAAGATGAAGGGCTGGCTGCAAGCATACCTGTTAAGGGTGTGTCATCCCAGGAAGTCTATAAACAACCCTGTTTCGATGCCTCTCAATTTCTGTGGACGAAATTAAAATTTAAGACATCTCTATATACTAGTAAGCATGGGTAATATGCTTCCTTCTACAAGTTTGAAGCTTATGAATTAACTTTTTGTGCCAAGTTATACGCAGTAGTCTGCCTGATTTGTGAAAGACTCGCTGTATTTTCAGTTCATTTTCACTATAGTGAAGTCTCTAGTATAGCTTCTGTTAAAGAACTACAGATATGATTAGATTTTTTTTCTTAAATTACATGTGAATTATTGTTGAAGAGAGCTGTGTGAGATATTAAAAAACGTGCACTGTTTCTTTACCATGTTAAATTTGGCAGTTTGGAGGCTCAAGCAATGTCAGTTCTGTGGTATTTTCTGTCCTAGACACATTTTGCTCTACCTTTTGAAAGAGTGAAATTATTTTGGGAAATCTCTTACCATGCTACTTCAGTGGTAATTAGCCTTTAAACGGCACCTAGGAAATTTTGCATGCGGTTACTAACAATTTATATTCATAGTTAACATTTGGTAAAAATGTGGACAACTCTTAGGCAGTAATCATGCCTGTGTTTTGGATGTTTTTTTCCTGTGTAGGCAAGTTTAGATATCTGAAATTCATTGCACTTAATGGCAGGATTTTTTATGCTTGCTGTCAGGGCACAGTCGGATGACTCAGAGCTGTCATGAGACCAGTAGGAGGAAGGATGCATCAGGAAGTGTGGCATTAGTAGTGTTTTTACTTTTTCTTCTTTGAAAAAAACATTCAAAACCTCAGGTTTTTCAGAGTAGTAAATAGAAAACATAGGAACAAAAGTTGTGACAACAGTGTTAAAATTCAGGGTCACTTTCTTTTGTGTAGATTTGGACCCTTCTAATATGTTGCAATGAAATATACCTGGGTGTGCCTTATTTGTGAATAGTATACAGCAACTGTTCAAGTCCTAATACACAGTCTGATTTTCTTCAGGATAGATTAGATCCATTCTCCCCTCTTCTGTCCAGTCTCATTTTTAAAAGCTGAGGTCCCATGTAATGTGTGTGTGAAATTTCTATGTAGTTAATCGATGTAGGACGCTCTATCTCAGTTTCCTGCTAGTACTTCTTAAAAGAATCATTATATAATAAAACAAATAACTGTTTTTCCCCTATGGAGGCTGACCTCAAAGATGCATTTAGCTGATGAAGATCTTGAGGAGGTGCTATGCTTTGAACATAGAAGAGTTTTAAAATCACAAATTTCTCTCTTTCTTGCTATTAGTAAAATATTTGGCATAATAGAAAGCTTAATACAAATTTTTCAATGCCAGCTGTGCCCAGGCACTTCACTATCTTGTGTGAAGGGATCATATCAAACATTCCGCTCAGGATGCCTCTGGCAAATGCATGTTGCTGTCATAGAGCACAGTCTTTGAAGGGTCATTGAAACACCAGAGTGAAAATCCACATAATTGTATGTGCTTAGCCACAGCATTAGCAAGTCAGAATTGTAAATTTGCACTGATCAGTCTCCTGCTATAATTGGAATGTCATTGTATTTTAATCCCTAGAGGGGCTCCTTGGAATGAGAAGTGAATAAGCTTTATCCTGTTGTTTCCAGAGAAATGCCTTGATAGTCAGTTCATGTTAAGAAGGCTTTTTATGAATTTGTGTATGCTGTTCGAATTACCTATACCTATTCTCGGTTATGTAATTGTCATCTTTAACCCTCTTATGGTGAAGGATTAAAATATTTCCCTAATGACAGCCCTGTGGTATGCATTGCACCAGGGCTGTTAGGGTTGGCTGCTGGGGGTCTCTTACTGAGCTATGAAACTACTGCTGGGATTTAGAGCAAAAGCACAGTAAGAATTCAGAGTAGCTACCAGGTCAAAGTGCTGTGTCCTGGGACCCTTTGTGGGAAGTGATGGGAACAGCATCTCTCTGACAAAGCAGTTAGGCAGGCACCTTTGAAAAACTTTTTAAGTCTGGGCTTCTTAGATGTAACCTGTAATCCAGATATCATTCTGAAGGATTAATGTTCTCTGCCCACCAAAAATAAACCCCAAGCCTTGCTGAACACACACCTTTCACTTTTGCATCACCCCCTGATCTGCTACCACGGTACACTTATACATTTTTCCTTTCCAGTTTAGTTCCTGGCACTGTATTGTTATTAGAAATTGTTGCATGGAGACATGACTTGAGTGGGTTTGCAAGGGAGCATCTCAAAATGATGAGAACATGTTACAATAGCAGAGCTTCCTGTAACCTCAAGCGTGTTGCTTCTTGTGCTCCTTGTATAAGTTGTTTCACTTGATTCTGGTTTTGGATTCTCTGCAAAATCTAGACTTCACTTGTTTATAAAACCACTGAGTGAAGAAACAATTCAGTTAGAAACATATTGAAACTGAGGCTGTTCATTTTGTTGTCCAATACCTGAATAAAACCTTAATGAAAGTTGTTTTGTTTGTTTTCCCCGTCATATATTAAAGGTGGATAGCAGAGCTGAGTCAATTGACAAGAAAATCGCTAGGCTTGATGCAGAACTAGTGAAGTATAAGGATCAGATGAAGAAGATGAGAGAGGGACCTGCAAAGGTAAGAATCTTCTGTGGGGTTTAAGCATGAGAGGATGTGACTCACACTTCGTGTCATGTAGTGGAGTGATTTAGCCAGTTCGTCAGGTTCTTAGAAATGCATCTTGCCCTCCAGATGAGATATAAGATCCTGCAAGATTATTTTTATTAGACACATGTCTTTCAACAGTGTTTTCATTGGTTTTTATTTCTTCTAAAGTATCATGTAATTCTTCAGTCAGAAGTAACTTGCTTGCCTTGTTCCTTGTGTTAATTAAGTCTGACAGAGAGTCTGTTTTGTTCATCAGCCAAAAGCAAAAGGTCTGCACTATGCCTAAAGGAAGCAGGACAACCCATTTTTAAAGGGGATGAACTTACAATACAAGATGTATCCGATAATAAACATATCTGATATAAACAGCATTGTTAAAGCACCTGTTGCAGTATTACTTGATGCTGACCACTAAAATGTGCTAATGAAAGATGGCTCGGATGGACTAAGCTTGATTTTGTATTTTTTTTTATTGAAAAAATAATTCAAAAGCCTGGAATTGAAAGTATTTTCTATTAGAAGCTTCCTGTTTGGTTAATCATTAATGCAGGACAAACACTGAATGTGACTATTGCTAAACTCCTGGCACTAGTAACTGAGGAATCTTTTAGAAAACATAAGTCTAATGCATTATGTTTAAACAGTATAATCAAATGTAAAGTAAGATATTTTTCATAATGTAACAATATTGTGTCTTTCAGAATACAGTAAAGCAGAAAGCACTGAGAGTGTTAAAGCAGAAGCGAATGTAAGTTGAAGCCTTTCTCAGCTTGTGATTAATAAAAGCCTTTTTTCTTTAAGGAGGGGTGGCACACTTTCATCTCTCTTTCCAGTACTCTTCTGAGCATTCTTTAAAGAAAAATACCTTTAAAGAACAAGCCTTTCAGAAGCATCTTCTTGCAGATTTTGCATCAGCATTTATATGTCAGTCTATAAATTTGTATTGGTACAAGGGGACTGAAATCTGCTCATTAGTGTAGCTGTATTTGGCTCCTAAACATTCTGAGAGATTGCCTCATTTTATATTATTAATTGGTTACTGTAAATTGTGTACTTGAAGACCTTGCTCTGGTTTATTGGAAATTTACCTGTTCTCTGGGGACACCCTTGAGGACTTGAGCAGATGTAGCGAAGGTAATTGTGTTTATGCAAATAAACCAAAATGGACAGGCTGGGTGATCATGTGCTCTGGTCTTGTCTTGAAAAGTGTCTTGAACAGATCCAAAGAAAAGATGTCAGAACAAAGCAAATATTCAGGAATGTTTCATTGCAATATCTTACAGTCCATGAACTACATATCTTAGATGCCTATCTGAGCCAAAGCCAAAGCTTGTATCATCTTGTATTTCATGTCCATCAGATAAATTGTACCTTTATAGATTTACTCAATTACTTGTTAAGTATTTGTGAACTCTTACCATCCAAAATATCATATGGCAAGGAATGCAATAGTTTAGGTAGATGTTGTGAGGAGGGCTTGATTTTGTGGTTTAGGTTTTGATTTTTTTTTCTGTATTTTGACTGTGCTGCCTGTTAATCTTCCTTGCTAGTTGTTCCTCTATTTACAGTTACCAGGCCCCTCATAATAGGCTATTGTCATATCCTTCAGTCATCTCTTTTCCCTCTTGTTGAACAGTAATGCATTTAGCTATTAGTTGTCCAGAAGATTTTGTATTCGGATCATCCTTGTCTTGCAGACCTCCCACTTTGGATGTTTGAAGGACTCATTGTTCATTTTTATGCTTTTGTTCTTTTGCTTAACTTGACGTAGTTTACATTCTTGATTTAATACAAGTTTACCTTGGAGAAGGATGGTTTCTTGATTTTTAAAATCTCCCTTTTGTTTTTGGTTAGCCTTAATGGTTTCCTTTTGGTACCCTATCCTCCCCCTCCTCCCTGCCCTGCAGAGCTCCAGTGCAGAGCCATTGTGGTTTGGATAACCTGGCAACTCTTCCATTCTGCTTAGAGCATTAGTGAGCATGGCATGAGTGTCAAGCTTAGGATGATTAAACTCCTCCTATATGCTCACCTACTCCTAGGCAAATTTGGTGTTGCTGTCAGTTAAAACAGAAGCTTAGTTCAGGAATAGCTTTGTCAGCTTCAAATAAACAAAAATGCATAATGGCTAGATTCTTATGAAGCTGTTTATTCTGCAGTTGTTTATAATAAATGAAAAACACCCCAAATCTGTTCCTATGTTTAGACTTCTGCTGCTGATTTTTCAATTTTTTAAAAAAATTAAGAATGTTTGTGGTAATAATTAGTGTGGTGTTTTAAAGCCATTATTTGTATTGTTTTTAATAGGTATGAACAACAGAGGGATAATCTGTCACAGCAGTCTTTTAATATGGAACAAGCTAATTACACTATTCAGGCACTGAAGGATACAAAGACAACGGTACCAGTATATTAATCTCACACTTGTTTAATTTGTGTGTGCTACATCAGATACAAGCATGTGGTTTGACTCTCTTTTAGGTGGATGCAATGAAACTGGGGGTGAAAGAAATGAAGAAAGCGTACAAGCAAGTCAAGATTGATCAAATTGAGGTGAGCTTCTATAGTTAAATGATTAAAGAACAGAAATAATGTACTGAAATAGTAGTGAGTGGACTATTAACTTGAAGGTAAGCTGACTATTTTAGTTGGCTTTTTTTATGGGACCACCATCATAATTCCTTCCTGATTTTTCTGGTACTGTGTAATCAGTTGTTGGCCTTATTGTACTGATTACTGTTTCCTTGCTGAGCTAATCTTTGAACTTTCCCTTCTCTCCCTTCCTCTCCTCTGCACTTCAGCATAAATGTTAGTGGATACTTCCTGCTATGGCTTTTTTTGTCCTTTTTTTTTTTTCCCCCATGCAGATTAGTCCTTTAGTCCCCCAGTTTAAGAAAGTGTCTGATTAAAAAGAACAAAACCTAAAAGCAAAAAAACACTAATCAAACAAAAAAATGTAATTTCAAGAAATCAGCAAGGCCTGGCCCTGACTTCAGACAATGTATAATGCCCCCGGATGAGATCATTAAATATAATTTAAAATATGCTGCACTTAAGCTCTTATCCAATGTCAGTGCTGAATTCCTTCAAGTTTTCTTTCCTATGCAGTTTTGTGGCCTGCATTGTAAACCTTTAGGCAACTCTTGTCTCCTTACTTGTACCCAAGTACAGTGCCCATAAGTGTGCTAAAGTATCTTCTAAATTTTGCTGTGGCACAACTTAGCTTAGTGCTTATTTTCCAGATGGTAGATTTAATTTGTCTAGATTTCATACCTTTTCGGCTTTTCGAGATAATGGTGGACTGGCTAATTTATTAGAGGTTTTTAGTTTTCCCTGAAGAATACTTCAAAAAAAAGGATTTTGCAGAGATGTTTCAAGGTTCCTCTTTTTCTGTCTCATACATTATAATTTTAATAGTAGTTAAAGCCACATTAGCACTGAATGCATGGGCTTTGACTTGTATTAATGCTGCTTCAAAAAATGGTTTATGCATTAAAAGAATTGAGCGCTTTGTATGTTGGAATTACTAAACAGAATTTGATTAAATATGGATCAATTGAAATTGATTGTTGCTTCAGGACATACAAGATCAGCTGGAGGATATGATGGAAGAAGCCAATGAAGTCCAGGAGGCACTGAGTCGTAGCTATGGAACACCAGATATTGATGAAGATGATTTGGAAGCAGGTGAGGAAAGGAGAGGATGATTTTTTACATTCCTAAATGTAAAAATCATCATACCGTCATACAGTAAGGTTTAATTTGATAAGTCAAATGCTTCAAATGTATTTTTAAAAATTGGGGTTTTTTAAACATTAAATCTGCATTTCCTTTCAGAGCAGTAACAAGAGCATGAGATAAACATGAGATACCAATGGAATGCTGCAGGGCAGGGAAGGAGGTTCTCTCTAGTGTGTATGTGTGTGTGTATTTCTGACCGATGACTAATGCTAAATAAGTCTGAATGTAAGCATTCAGTATGAACCGTGTTTCTTTGTGAGAGCAGCTTTTCTTTTGCAAAAGGAATTCCTTGCATAATTTTTCAACCAGCATTATTCACTTTCAGAACTGGATGCGTTAGGTGATGAGCTTTTAGCTGACGAAGACAATTCCTACTTAGATGAAGCCGCATCTGCACCAGCAATCCCAGAGGTCACTCCTACAGACACAAAAAACAAAGTGAGTCCTTTGCTTTTTAAAAGTGAATTACATTTTTGTTTGTTTGTTTTGAATTAATCACATTTGTGTTGGTTACTTTATATTTGGGACCATTAATATTTTGAACAAAAAAGTGTGCTTAATGTTTTATGTATTTTGAATACTACATATGACAGAATACAGGTACAGGAATGCTCTTAATTACATTTAAAGAAAATAACTAAAATGGCGTTTTGTAATTCCTATCAAACATTTTCAGACTGCAAGTATAATTTAAGTGTACCGTTACAACTCTAGTAATAGTTATTCTTAAAACCGTAAGAAAGTCTTCTCTATGTTTGCTTTTGGGGCTTTAATAGAGCTCTGTATGGAGGAAGTACACTTTGATTCCAGCTGTCACACAGTGACAAATGCAGATATAGAAACTTTATAGAAATGGTAAGGAAACATTTGTGAAACGTTCTGGTTGGTAGAGAGTTGTTAACCCATTCTTCTTCTTTCTTACAGGATGGTGTATTGGTGGATGAATTTGGATTGCCAAAGATCCCTGCAACATAAATGTTTCAAAAGCACAATGGATATAATGAACTATACTTTACAAATTGGTTTTTTTTTTTTTAAATCCTGGAGAGCTTGTCCTTCCAGTGTAACCTTAATATCACTACATCCTAGAATGCAATATGAATGGCTGGTGGTGTTCTTTCTTTGAAGAAAGTTGTTCTGCTACTGACTTTTCTGTTAATGGAAAACTCGTCACAATTCCCTTCGGTGGAAGCAGTCAGTCTTACAGGTTTTGATTTCCATGTCTTATGGACAAAGTAAAACATTAAGAGTAGTGGTGGCTGTTGATAGCTGAGGTTTATTTTGACTTTGTATTATGTTTCTCTTTCTTGAGACTAAGACTGTACGTTGCTGCTTACTCTCTGTAAAATAGCTCCCTTATTACTATGCTTATTTGATAAAAGAACTCAATGCAATTTTTAAACTACTGCAGTCTCGAGACTTTTATGCGATTGTACTTGTAACCTTTCAGAAAACTGTACCAAATCGGGTTGTCGTTAACTTTATGTATTCTATGGAGACATAAAACCACGTAGATTAGCAGATCCCTCTGTGTGGTGTTTTTGGTAACTGATTTGGTCTTACAGACGGGGCGGGGGCAGGTTATCAGCGCAGTGTGTGGCACGAGCACAGGATTTGCCAGAGGCGGGGTCTGGATCTGATCCCAGAATCATCTAGGGTGGCAAAAAAAACCCGTCCCTTTTACGGCCGGGTTGCCCCGGCCGTGCCCTTGCTGCTGGGGTCGGGGGGGAAAGCGATAACAGCGCACCGGGAAGGCGGCATTCCCGTTTCCCTTGTGCGGAAGTGACGTGCTACGGGCGCGCCCCGGGAGGTGCCGCAGACGCTTCCCTGTGCCGGGGTGAGATGGCGGCGCCCGGAGCGCCGGTGACCGTCACCGTCACTTACAGTAAGAGCCCCGGGACAAGGGAGCGGCCGGCGGGCTCGGCTCCGGCGGCGGGGGCTCCGGCCGGCTGTTTCGGTGTGCAGGGCGGGGCGGGCGGGCCGCGGCTGCCCCGGCGAAGCGGGGAGGGGCCGGGGCCGGCTCGGCCCCGCTCGGCCCGCTCTCCATCCCGGCTGCTGCCATAAGGTTTCGCTCCTTGCTGGCCACCGCTTCCAAGTGTCTCTCTCCGGCTGGATCGCAGGCGTAGATCTGCTGTGAGGGGGGATAGTGGGAGCAGGGGACAGGGCGGCCTTTGCCAGGGAGCGCAGAGCTGGGGTCGGTGGTGGGCAACGGGGATGATTGAGGAGCTGGAGCATCTCTCTTACGGGGAAAAGCTGAGGGAGCTGGGCCTGTTCGGCCCCGAGAAGAGACAACTGAGAGGGGACCTTGTCAATGTGTATGAATGTGTAAAGGCGGGATGCCAGCAGGATGGATCCGGGCTCTTCTCGGTGGTGCCAGGCAATAGGACAAGAGGCAATGGGCAGAAACTGATGCACAGGAAGTTCCACCTGCATGCGAGGAAGAACTTCTTTACTGTGAGTGTGTCCGAGCACTGGAACAGATTGCCCAGAGAGGCAGTGCAGTGGTCTTTTCTGAAGATATTCAGAAGTCATCTGGACACAATCCTGTCCCATCTGCTCTAGGATGGCCCTGCTGGAGCAGGGAGGTTGGACCAGCTGACCCACTGCGGTCCCTTCCAGCCTGACCCATTCTGTGATTCTGTTGTTCAGTAGTAATCTTCATTTAGATGCAATATATTGCTGAAGTCAGCACTGCATGTTAAAGGCAGGTGCTACCTGATAGGTTTTCTTCTTCTTTGTTGAAAAGTACTTGGATGTTTGCAGCTAGTGGGCTGCAAGATTGCAACAGAGAGTGTGGTTTCTTCAGTATGACAGATGGGTGCTGACCTGGTGGAATGGGTCACTCAAAGGCCGGCTTACACAGCTGAGGTTTTCTTCCTCAAAAAAAGAAATAGGAGGAGGGAGAAGACGGAGGAAGGGAAGATGGTCTTATATCTGCAAATAAATATAAAAAGTTAGTGTGAAGAGGTGAGAATAGCCCTGACTCCACAGTATGGAAATACCATGGTTAAATTTTGGTGAAGTGAGACAGTAGGAGGACTGAGGAGGATAGTAAGGTATTAAGTCAGCAAGGTATTCTGCTCATTTTTGTTAGCAAAACTTGTTAAATTTTTTACTAGATTTTTTTAAATTATTGAATAATAAATTCAGCCTGTGTTCCTTTTACACTGATGTTCTTTCCATCTTTAGAGTTTATTTCTGCTTGCCCATTCACGTTTTCAAATTGTTACATTATTTTGTTAAAATGTTTTCTTTATCACCTGGTAGTTTTATTTAAGAGTCTTTGGTGAGGAACTTTATGGAATAACATGTTTGAATTGTCATGATTCATGTGCTCGTTGATGCCTTCAGAGAGCTCCATTTGGTCTGAGGGGTTTTCATTTGCAAAGATGTCAATAACTTAATGATATTGACATATTTATAATTCCAACATCTTGCTCTTTGCCAACAGTCATCTTATGTGAGAATGTTTTCATCTTTCCTATTTTTTTCTTACCTGATAATTACTTTGTCATTAATGAATAGCAAAGAGAAGCCATCATTCACCTTTGGCTTCAGCTGTCTGATTTACACTTGCTGCTGTCAGATGCTGGTTTAACAATTTGCACAAATGTTTTTAGTAAAGTTTTGCATGCATGACTGAAAGTGGGGAAAGATGCAAATTAGGGTTGAGAAACAGAACAGCAGTAGACCTACATGCATCACTTCACAATCTGCAAGTATGGAGGGTTGACCCTGGCTGGACGCCAGGTGCCCACCGAAGCCACTCTGTCACTCCCCTCCTTGGCCGGGCAGGGGAGAGAAAATACAAGGAAAGGCTGGTGGGCTGAGATAAAGGCAGGGGAATATCACTTACCAGGGACTGTCACGGGCAAAACAGACCCGACTTGGGGAAACGTAGTTTATTAGCATTCAAATCAGAGTACAATAATGAGAACTAAAAGAGAAAAACTCACCTTCCTCCACCCCTCCCTTCTTCTTGGGCTTCACTTTCGACCCAAATTCTTTAACTCCTACCCCCTGAGCAGTGCAGGGGAAGGGAGCCTGTGGTCAGTTCATCACACTCTGTCTCTGCTGCTCCTTCTTCCTCACACTCTTCCCTTGCTCCAGTGTATGAGTCCCTCCCATTGACTGCAGTCCTTCAGGAACAGGCTGCTCCAGTGTGGGTTCCCCACAGGGTCACAAGCCTTGCCAGCAAATCAGCTCCAGCGTGGGCTCCTCTCTTCAGAGGGCCACAGGTCCTGCCAGTAGCCAGCTCCAGTGCAGGCTTCTCAAAGCAGCCATAACCTTCTTAGGGCATTCACCTGCTCTGGTGTGTGTCTCCTCCACAGGCTGCAGGTGGATCTCTGCTCCACTGAGGACCTCTGTTGTGAATTTACAGTAATTTTTTTTTTTACAGTCTGCCCAAAGTGGTACTTATAATTTCTAATTAAACTGGTTCTCTAGTTAGACAGGCTTCATCTGGTTTTTTCCTCAGTTAATGCTTGTTTTTGGTTTTTTTCTCAACTGCCCATAGGCAGAGCCCTTATGCAAAGCAGTTGTATATATCAAAACAACCGTTTGAAATATATTGAGATTGTGCTTTGTGGGATTTTTTTTTTCCCACAACAAATTGGGAAGAAGTTCTGTTTATGGAAAATGCTTCAGTGAGAGGGGCATAATGTAATTTTGAGCTTAAAAATGTCTTAGAATTAACAAGTATTGTTAGAGCTTTAAAGTTTTTGAGGCCACAGTGTCCCTTTCATGTGACTGTGGGAGGCTGGAGTATTTCAATATCGATATTTCTAGCACTCATCTTTATCAAAGATACATGCACTTAAAATTAGTGGCATGAGAATAGTTTTATTTCTGGTATTTGCTCAGGACTTTTCTCTTTCTGCAGAGTAAAAAATGCCTGTCTTGATTTCCCATGCAGCCACTGGTGGTTGATTCCTGTGGGTGCTTTCAGATTGACAGATCTTAAATGCATGGGAGCAGGGGGTTATAGAAAGGGTCTGTTGCAAAGCAGAGATTAATAGGCATACTCCTTTTTTCCTAAGAACTTCCTCCTTACTGCATGCAAGTAATCTTAGGGAGTCTGAATAGGATGCTCCATAAGTGGGTTGTGACAGATAAGCTGGGACTTCCTCAAAGTGGTTAAGGCTGCTTATCAGTAGTATTATGGCGAGAAGTAGTTTTTGGACTGTGAGAATTCTGTCTAATTGGTGTGGAGGCAACACAGGGTAAATACTGATTGCTTGTTTCTCACGTATGAGGAGTGGGGAGCAAAGGAACTGATAAATTGTCTCAGATACCAAGACTCATGCTATTAAAAGTTCCTACAAGTGGGAAATGGGATACAGCAGGAAGGTGTGGCTTTTATGCTTCAGCTTGTGGAATGTCTGGACACTATCTGTACTCTTAAAAAAGAGATAGGGAGTAATATTTAGCAGGAGCATTATGTTAGTAAAATACACCCAATCAAACTCTTCACATTATTACAGTCTAAACCAAAACTTTCAACTCAGGTCAGTCACTCCAAGAGGAAGGATTGAAAATAATGGTTGTACATGAGAATCAGTGGTTTGAGAACTTTTTGCATTAATGGAAATAAATATTGGAAATGGATTTTCTGTAATGTTTCCTAGGTATTTCTAGGTATTACTGTTACTCTGTTTTTCTGTTAGGCAACGAAAAACACAGTATTCAGGTTGCTTCTCAACAAGAAGACGGTGAACCTACACTACAAGACATGGCTGTACTTATTGAACAAGTCACTGGAGTTCCAGTTCCCTTTCAGAAACTGATATACAAAGGTAACTTATAAATCTGCAACATTTCTTATAGATGATAAGATTTCATCTTAGTCACTTTCAAGTGTCAATGTTTTGAATGTCTTCAAAAAGACATTCTTATGCCACTAACCTTACTTTAGCTGTTTTTTTTTTTCTCTCTCGTTTTTCATTTAGGAAAGTCTCTGAAAGAACTGGAACAACCGTTATCAGCACTTGGTGTTAAAAATGGTTGCAAAGTCATGTTGATTGGGAAAAGGGTAAGTGTTGACTTTGGACCTTTTTTTTCCCCTTAAATTATTGTAATTTTTGTCAGTAAGTCAGATGCTGAACACAGAAACAGGTTACAGCATTAACCTAATTTTGTATACCTATCCACAAAATTGAATTCAATCTCACGTTACCCTGCAAATAACTGCAGTTTGTACATTTCTGAAATTACATTATTGACTGGCTTCTGCTTTACGTTATTGACAAGACTTTGTGTAATCTACTGTCAGTGCTCATGAACCTTCTGTACACCGATGACCTTATCTGCTCATCTTTTTTTTTTTCTGGTTTAAAAAAAACCTCCCCCAACTGTAGCTACTGAGTCTGCTGGGTTATTTCTGGTGAAAGGACTTGTGGCTGGCTTTGCCAAGTAGGGGACAAGGTAATAATCTTGTGATGTAAATGCTACCTCTACTTTAAAAATGCTAAGTTAACAATAAGAAAAAAAAAAATTTGCACTTTTCCTTTTTCCCTTCAATTTA